AGAATGTAAGAGTGTCTAAATATGTAGTGTCACGTTTCTAATACCTCTATTACAGTCCTTATATAGCTAACTACCTAAGTAACTAATCAACTACCAAGATACTGTCTATAGCAGGTCAGCTTAGTGTCAAGAACAAGTTAGCTTCCCGTGCAATCAGTCCTCACAGAATGCTTCTGCTTCAGTTTTTCCAGGTAACAAGTCAGCCAGCTTCTTAAATTTGCCTCTTAGAGTTCTTTGACCGCTTGTCCAGGTAAGCTTGACAACTAAGCACAATACAAATAGACAGCTTTGACTTCAGTTATCCAGCGTGGCAGCAGGCTTGCAAGCCTTCACAGCAGCTGCACTTTCTCCAATTCTGCCAATCATCTCATCCAGCTCATAATGAAGCCAATTGCTCTCTCAAGTGCACTGCACAACTCAAAACAGCACCAAATCACTACCATGAACTTGCACATCAAAGTTTATTAACAAAATATTCTACATATTGTCTAGAATTAAAGCTACAAATAACAAGAATAAACTGAAAGTAACGTAAGCTCTACTACTACTTAAACTATAATGCTAAAATAGAATGAGGACTTTAAACTACTCTTAAAACAGAAAATGGATCCTAAAAACAGCTCTACAACTTTTAAAAACGAGAAAACTAAAATCAAGGATAACTAAAGCAGCAGGTAATATAAAAACGCACATAGAAACTATAATCAACTAGGAATCAACAAAATATCATTAGTAAACTAAAAAGGAAAAACAACTATCTAAGCAAATTTGAAATGCTAAGAGAAATCTAAAAACAAATCCAAACACTAAAAACAGTAAAGAATACAACATTTCACTATGAGTTGCTCATTGTCATAACAAAATCGTTGATTGCACAACCTGGTTTATAAGTGTCAATGCAGCCAGTGGCAATGGATGAAGCGTTTTTGGGGCATTTCTTTGACTCACAAACAACTTTACGGTTGGAGGAAGAATTATAGCATTTTGTGCTGCAGTCGTGCCAGAGGTTCTCTCCTCCAAGATCAATGGCTAGATCCGTGTTGTTTTGGGGAGTTCCTAGGCCAATTGTGGTGTAGAACATATGGCTGACATGCTATAAAGGGTGTTTTTTCCAGAGCTCTATCAATTTTTTGAGTAATTTCAGTTATTTTGAAATGAACTTCTTTTAAATGTAAAAGATGCATTCCAAGATGAATGAATACATTTGCGGGATGTAGAAAGTTTAGCCTGCTATAAAAGAGTACACAGCACTATGTCATTACTAACCCAGTTAAAGTAGTGGCCTTCGGGGACAGGCCCTGACGATCTAAACCATGTTCGGCATTCTAAACGTTGATCTTTTCTTTGTAAACCATATTGTATAAAGAAACCGTTGGCTTTAGTCCTGAATTTATCATCTTTTCTAAGAGAAACTCTGCTTCCTTCCACTTTCCATCATTGCAAAGAAGCCCTATGGTTGAGCAAAAACTGGCCACATTAGGGACCATTCCATTGTGAACCATTTCATTGAGTAGCCTAAAAGCCCTGTAAGAGCTTCCTTCTTTGCAGTAACCATGAATCATCATGTTAAATATAACATTGTTTGGTTCGAAATGCAGCTCCCCCAATGATTTGAATAGTTTTGAGGCTTCTTTCATGTTACCAGTTTTACATAACCCATGTATTAAGACACTGTATGTGTGTACGTCTGGAACCAAACCAGACTTCTCCATTAAAGCATGCATTTTGCGTGCTTTTTCCATATGATTTAGTCTTGCAAAAGCATCAATCAGAATAGTATATGTCACTTTGGAAGGAGCAAAACATCTCTCTTCCATTTCCTTGACCAAGCTAAGAGCTCCAGTTAAATTCTCAACCTTACAATACCCTGCAATCAGAGTATTATAGGTTACTAAAGTTGGTGAAAGTCCATTTGACTTCAATTGACTGAATAATCTAACAGCAGTGTCTATTTTTCCAACACCACAAAAACCGTTGATCAGTATATTGTATGTAACAATGTTAGGACTGAGGCCAACTTTACTCAATCGATGAACTAACTTTATTGCTTCACCGAACTTCTTCCCTCGACACAGCCCACCTATTAAAATGTTATATGTCATAACCCCACACATAACACCTTTCTCACGCATTTCACCAAACACCTTAAAAGCTTTATCCACCATCCCACCATTACAATATTCTCCAATCACACAGCTGTAGGAATAAACATTTGGCACTATTCCACTTTGCTTCATATTCTCATACATATGAAACCCTTCCCTTTGAAGTCCTTGTTTGAAAAACCCGTTCATTAAGACACTATAAGTATGTTGATTAGCAACTACACCCAACCTATCCATCTTGCAAAACAACTTCTTCGCCAGCATGACATCTCCATTCTTGCAGCACCCATCAATCAACGTAGTGTATATAACAACATTAGGAGACAAACCAAACTCCTCCAACATGGTCACAAGCCGAAACCCTTTCATTAAGTCACCAACCTCACAACAACCATTGATCATAATCCCAAATGTGTAGACATCCATAACAACTTTAATCTTGAATTGGTTAAAAACCCACCAAGCTTTATCGAAACAGTTTGACCTAAAGAGCGAGCACAGAAGATTGTTGAAGGTGTTTGATGTAGGAAGATGACCCTTGTGAATCATCTGGTGTAGAAAAGTGAGGGCCTGATCAGGGGAGTGAGAATGAACATAAGCATTGACAATTGTTTCAAAGAGAGGAGCATAAGTTGAAGAAGAGGTGAAATGGGCTTGTGTTAGTTGAGGTATTAAGGAGGAGGGAGAGAATGTGTAGAAGGGGATTCGACCAGAGATTAGACGCAAGATAAGAGATTGAGCTTGGGGTAGCATGTCATGGGATAGGAGATGGTTTAAGATGAAAGAGATAGAGTGAGGAGTGTGATGAAGGCCCTCATAGGTTGAGGAATTGAACAACAAAAGTGCTTTTGGTGGGGGCACTTTCACCATTTTTTGGATCAGTATTAGAGTTTTTTCATGAGACTGAGACATCTTTCTCCAACCCTTCCTACGTCTCAAAACATCACTGAACTAAGCTAAATTATAAAGTTCAACCTGTTTTAAATTCAGAGACCAATCTAATCTAACCCATTTTACCTAAAGGTATGTAAATATATGTTCAAGAAAGCTTGTTCCGATA